CCTGCCAACGACAAATTACACCAGTAGCAGAAGTGTGAATATTTTATTCCTAACTTTAAGTTATTGCTACCCCCACCCCTTTAACGATTTGTTAATATTTCAGAATTTCATTAAAAATTTAGCTAGAAGATAATATAGACTTTTTTTAATTATATTGCCCAGAAATTTATGAGGTGTACTAAGGTATTTTAGTAAGTAATTTCTGATAAATTCCAAGCTATTTTAGAATTTGAAAAATTGAATTTTGCAAGAGTATTTGAATGGTATCTGAAAAATGTTGGAGAAATTTGTCCAAAAAGGCCATTTAGTGTGCAGAATTTTCACTGTATGCATCAAACATACCAGAAAGTGAGGTTTTTCGCCAAGAAATGAAGATTTGAGGTACCAAAATTGAGGAAAAATCTGATTTTGTGCGAACATTGATTGTCCATTAGAAAAAGTTGAATATTATTTACTTACTTAGCGACTTACTTTTCGAAGATATCAAATTTTGTGAAATATAAATTATAAACTGATTTATCCTAGTATACACTCTTTGGGGTAGACCGAATAGAACAAATTAACGTAGTACCAATTTTGTAGTTCATTGATACAATTTGACAAATATTGTGATGTTGTATGGTGTCTTATACATTCTTTCTTTGTTAAGATACATTGCCCGAAGATTCTATCTAATTCTGATTGTTTAGAGTCAACCGCAAGCAACACGATTGTACCTACAGATGTTGCCTTTTTATTATTTTGTTTTATATCTCGTAAATTGTCTTGAAGGAAACTGTAAATAGCAACTTTTTGGTTCTTGGCAACCAATATAGATAATGATTAAAAATTAAATGGAAACGTCGGTCTTTTTTAATAATTATAAATTCTTAAGCATAAATAACCTTCGTCGTAGTGCGTCACAGAATTTGATCGTTTGGTAGGGTACGTGATTAATTTATGAATTCCGAAAGGGGAGCGTCGCTGGAAAAAGTTTGGCAATCTCTGTCCTATATGATGTCCATTTCGCAAATTAGCAAAAATTAGGGTCATATATTTTCTGAAAGCCCGCGTCCATTAATACGTGTATGTCCAACGCGTAAATTCGGGTTCATCCCACGTACTAAAATCGCGCAAAGCCGCACATAAAATTCTCGTAGATTTGTCGCGGAAACATTAGCATAAAAGTTTGGCTAACAACTTTTAAATTTCGTTCGTTCCGGATCAGACTCGCACATTCGCGACAGCCTGCAGTCGGCATATGAAACTAATATCACTTCCGGATACGAGATGATAAATTCGAACGCGACCTCCAAAAAGTTTCTTTCAGCCGACAACACAGCGCGCTCTGAAAAGATCGTGACGCTAATACCTGGAGCGGCATATTCTGTTTCACCGAATTGAAATTTTCTAGAACGCAGTTTATATGTGTAATTATTATCGTAGCATGTCTTGCCTGCCTCGTCTAGAAAAGCACTGGTACGGTGCAACAAATCAAATGTGTATAAATTTTTTGAACTGGCACTAATTAATTTGCAGCATTATCTAAACGTGTCACTTGCACATCCAATTCCATCGAAATTCTCATCAAACTATTCCATAAACATAAAATATGTCAACTTTCCTGCTTCTTTGCATCTATAAATGATAATGTATAAAATTATTCATCTTTAGTATTACACAAAAGTTGGCGCAAAGGAATCACATGGCTTTCAAATAACCACATCATACTATTTAAAATTGTCTGGAGGAATCAAGAAGATTTATAAATACTATTAGAGTAGCCTGTGGAAGATTATTTTCAAAATTAACCACAACAATTTTATTTTTAAAATTGCTGTCGCTCTTCTTCGTGATTCAACATTGCTAACCTCTCTTGTAGTCCTCGAAAATAGAAATTTTTAGTCCCTCTATAGTGCGGGGTTTATTACGTTATTTCACTTTGCACAGGTCTTCAGCACTCCTCAGAATAAAAAGGTGCCTTCTTAGACGGCAGATTCTTAGTACACAACAGCAGCTTCTCAAATGAGACTCACAGAATTATCAACATCCAGTAGTAGTCTAGGCAGGCTTTGTAAGGTGTTTGGATCAAGTAGTCATCATCATATCCTTGTAGTCTTAAAGCAAATTTCCGCACCCTAGGTGTAGAGTATCGGTTGTATTTTAGTCAACGCAGCAGTTAAGCAGCCCAGTCTTCAGCAAAGTTGTAATTGCGTCTCTCAATGCAATTGCGCTTTGTTTCTTTTGATTTGTGAACAGGTCTAGCTCCATCTTAGCTGCTACAAGCCATTTTCTTCACAAAAAAAAAAAATATTTCATACAAAAAACGTTTGTCATTGCAAAATTAAAATTAAATTTTGATTGTGACCTCGGTTTGCAAAATTTCCGCGCCATCGATGAAAATTCATTTGTCAGAAATGGCATACTAAAGTTTTATAATGTGCGTCCCCAGGGGAGGCACATGCGAGGCCAACGGTTTTCGATAAATTTGTCGGCAAAAATTTTAACATTTTTTTATTGGTGTTTAAAAATGAAACAACATGTAACGCCCTCAACTAGAACATAACGGGCGATTCAATAAGAATTTCCACATTACAATCTGAAATATTTTTGAAACGCCACTGTATTTATTTAGTATCATATGAGATTTCTAACCTCAAAACATAAACAAAATTAGTCATGGAGCAATATGCGACTGAACAACGTGTAAAAATTGTACAAGCCTATTATGAAAATGGTCGATCAAAAAAAATGCATTTCGGGCTCTACGTTAATTTTTTGGCGCGCAAAATCGACCTTCTGAGAGGACAATTTGGAATGTGGTTCAAAAATTTGAGCAAACTGGATCTGTAACTAACCTCAAAGTCCCTCAAGGTGCACGTGCAGGTCGGTCAGATCAAAATATTGCCATTGTTCGCAAAAGTGTTGCCGAAGATCCAAACACATCGATTCGTCAACGATTGCAGCAAGTGGGCCTTACATATTCAACCAGACAGCAAATTTTAACAAAAGGCTTGCATCTACACTCATATAAAGTCCAAATAACTCAGGAGTTGAAACCTCGAGATCATCAACAGCGCCGCGTGTTTGCAGAATGGATACGAGAACAAGGGGTTCATTTTTCAACGAAAATCATCTTTAGCGATGAGGGACATTTTCACGTTGGTGGCTTTGTAAACAAACACAATGCTCGTATTTATGGATTAGAAAATCCAAGAGAAATTGTTCAAAAAGCAATGCATCCTCAAAAAGTGACTGTTTGATGCGCATTTTGGTGCGGAAGAATAATTGGCCCTTTTTTTTCGAGGATAATGCAGAGAACGCTGTTACGGTTAATGGCGTTTGCTATCGAAACATGATATCTGAATTTTTCTGGGAGCAGTTGGAAGGTATTGATATTGAAGATTTGTGGTTCCAACAGGATGGAGCCACTTGTCACACATCCAGAGAAACGACGCAATTGTTGCGCGACAAGTTTCCTGGTCATATTATCTCACGTAACGGCGATATCAATTGGCCGCCGCGATCATGTGATCTTACTCCCCTAGATTTTTTTTTTTGGGGGTATCTAAAAAGCAGAATGTATAGAAATAAACCAAACACTATTCCAGAGCTGAAACAGGATATTAGACGCGAAATAGCCGGCATAGAACCTGAATTGTGTCCAAAAATTGATAGGAAATTTCAATAAACGAATTACGTCATGCCACATTAGTCGCGAGGGTCATTTGAATGACATCATCTTTCATACCTAATTGTAATACACTAATCTAAAATGGCAAATAAAAATGTTTGTATATTTTTATATTCATTCGAGTTTTTTTTTATTATTTTAATGTGGAAACCCTTATTGAATCACCCTTTATTTATGGTGGTAATCAGAGCGTTCGGCGTTTAAGCTTCACTGAATAAGACATGCAAGACAGGCTTCGGCGACATCTATTCAAACTCCAACATTCCAAAGGTCCATAGGGCGTAAATCAACAAATTCTAGAGCCTCCGTTATTGAATATATGTCTAAAATACCATTACCTCATGCCATCTAACCAGTCCACTTATCTTGTGACTTCACCACAGTATTGGGAATATTAGAAGATTTTTGTTATTAGTTAATTTCTTTACATTGTGCCAAAATAAGAATGTGTTTTCTCAGAGAGAAGAAAACAATTAACAAAGACATTAACACTAATACGAAAAAACCAACAACAAAATCCAAATTAAAGTCGCAAATGAATTAACATCGGAAGTAGATATCAAATCTGGAATGCCTCAGGGAGATAGCCTAAGCCATTCTTATTCAACTTAACAATGGATAAAATTATAGGAGAAATGAAAAAGATAAGGGATCGGGAGAAAACAAATAAAAATCTTATGTTATGCAGAGGATGCAATCTTGATATTAGATAATGAAGAATACCTACAGCGTCTACCTTTAAAACAGTGGCGGGAACCTACAATATACAGATATCGACGTCTAAGAGCAAGCTTTAGCAAAGAACCCAGACGATGCAAAAGAGTGATTAATGATGAAATAAACAAGTTTCAAGGTCCGAATATTTGGGAATAGAAATATCTAACTAGAGATACCGAAAAGAAAGTGTACAGAAACAGGCAACTAAAGCATGTTGTCTGAGGGATGTTATTTGGAGAGATAAAGATATGTAACCATAGCGTGTAACACGAATGGACTGCGATAGACTAGTCCGAACAGCATATTCCAAATACAACTGCAGATTTAGAAAAAAAAGATATCCGACAAGAACAGGCCCATGGCCTAATATAAGAACAAGAAAAAGAAGACGTTTCTTCAGTTCAAATCGTATTTCAATGTGTCACAAATTTCCGCAGCTGCTTCTCATTTTAATGTTATCGAATCGTGGAATCGTTCAATAGCAGATATTATATGAAAACGAAATTAAATGTCGTTTTGTCACGGACAATTACATTTTTCCACTTTTGTTGATATGAATCCGATGAGTATCAATTTTTAACATTTTTGATTTATGTTTTACTCGCACAATTTGAAACTATGGCGTGTTTTCTCATAGTTCGAAAATGTTACCCGTTTCTAGTTTTGTTAGGTGCTATTTGCGTGGGCGCTGTTTCGAAAAGAGTATGTTACAATTTACAAGTCAAGGGCCGTTAAATGGATTTTTGCGTCTGAAAGAATAAAAATAAGAAGTTATCGCCGACAAATACTTCTTCAGATGCAAATATTCAACAAACGTACTCTTTGTGTGTGATGGAATTTTCAATAATATTGTTGAATGTAACATTTTGAGTTCTTTATTATTTTCAGCAAAAAAATTTAAGATTGCAACAATTTGACGAGAACTGCGACGGAGCAGACGTCAGCACGTATGCCGCACACTTTAGAAGTAACGAACTCAAATTGGCTAACAATAAATACAATCTCAACTTTGAAATTGAAATCGCCAGAGACTGGCCGAAGGATTTTAAAGTTAGTAAAAGTTATTGACTATTTTCAAAATTTCATTTGTAGCATCGTCTATATGATAATTTAATTTTCAGATCCAGATCGATTTGGTTAGATGCAGACACAGAGATTCACCAAACACTTGCGAAAAATACCAAAGCATCACCATACCGTATTTCTGCAAGTTGCTAAATATGGCGGAAAAACCGTGGACACCCATATTCTCCGTTATGGCACCGAAAATAGTATGTCCTATCAAAAAGGTATATTTATTAAATGTATTTTAACATATTTAACATATTTTTGTTATTGCTCCTGATTTCAAATTAGAATGCATCTCAATATCATGCGTTTTGGTAATTAAATAATTTGAACTTAAAATAGTGCACGTGGTTATAAATTTTATTTGGTAAAATTATTTAGGTTTTTAGCTTTACAAAATTTTCAAAATTCACTATATGAGAACCATTAAAATATTGCAATACAGAAAAAAAAAGAATAAAAGGAAAAAGGAACAAATAATAAAAAGTTAAAACATTTATATTTATTCGCTGCAAAAAGAAGGCGTTTTTATTTTTTTTACTTCTAATTTATTAAGTTATTAGTTTCATTATATTTCATCCGTTGCTAGAACAACACATCTCTAAGACCATTTGCTTCTCCAAGAAAGTACCTCTTTGCCCTTACTTGTACACCCATGTATATTTGGACTAGGTATTGAAATATTTCCAATCCGATAATAATTATCGCGTACACCATCCTTTCGGATTCTCAAAATATCCTAACATAAATTTGAAAAACTTCATAACACACCAAAGATTTTTTTATAGATACTGGCTTACTCCACAAAACGAACGGTTAGTTTCCCTTATGAAACCATTGATAATGATTTTGATTTACTCGTTGTTCCAATTCCTTAGATATTCCAATAAAGCCCTCTTTTATTTTAGGGTAGTAAATACAGAACAAGAAATAACACTTCGGTAGATACAAAAGCATTTGCCAGTTTGCCAATGATCGGAAATTATCACTGGATAGCAACTTCGAAGTCCATGGATCAAACAACCAACGAATTGTTGCATTGTGTCAGAACCGCAGGTCAATTAATTTACGTGAATTAAACATATTTTGGTTGTTAAAATGCCAATGTCAATAAATATATTAGTGTAACAAGCAATTAAATTGTGTCCTTGAGAAGTTGTTCAGATTATCATTTAAAAATGTTAACCTTCATTTAAATTAAAACAACAAAATTGCAGACTTCCGATAATTCTTTCATAATTATAATTTAATCGTAATTGTAACAATTTAGTGTTTTTACCCTCTACTCGAATATTCGAAATTATGCACTGGGCGCTTTCATTAAAGTGTAATACTTTAAAAGCCGGCTCAAGCTATTTCTGAGGTACAAAAACGCTTGGTCCCACTCAAAAATCATTGCACTATTTTCAATAGAAAGTAATAGAATAGAATGTCTTCTTTTTATCCAAAAAAATCTGGCAATATCTCAAATCCAAACCGTTGCGAAGGTACCGAAGTAACTACTAGAACTAAGTTGGATTGAGCGATAGTTTACAAAGACTTATTTTCGGCCACATCGATATTTTAGAGAGTTTAATTTAGGTTTGATTTTATATGGGTAATGTGGGTATGAGTACCTCGAAGCATTAAGAACACACCGATTCACTATTTATTCCGGTAGACGTACCTGGTAGTTTACTAAAAAAATTTAGCCATGTAGTTAATTGTTTCTGCCCTTTGTGGTAGGTTTCAATGGCAAAGTTTAAAATTTGACCGGGAACCAGTTATGCAGTTTCACCGCCTCTCCAATTGAAAAACTTTCTCCAACACCATTAACATCATTAGCACATACAGGTTTTCCACCTAGAATAGAAGCGATGCATTAAATTCCTCGTATAACGAAACCCCCGAGCCTTTAAGGACAGTTTGTCGGTTTTCTGTTTAACTATTTTAAAGTGTATTCCTGAATAGGTTTAAATTTCCAACATCACGCAAAAAAATCAGCTGCGGCGGATATACCTTTGAATTCTTGTAAACTTAATCCCAAAATGGCGATTCGTAAGTCACACAGCATAACGCAAATTTGAACCTAGATATGGCTTATTGTTTGATAAGAAGTGACAGTAGTATGCAACCGTACATTTTTTTCGAGACGTAAAAACATTACTGACTACTCATAACACTAATGGGATCAACTTAGTCGCGTTTCCAGCATGAAAGACTTGGTCGTGGAAGATTCTGACTGTGCACTTTTCTTTTATAACAAGCTAGCCTACGCAAAAAACTCGACTTTATGAAATTTTGTTCTTTAATTCACAAACAAAAAATGGCTTTAAAAACTATGTTTTTCAAATTACACTTAGGTCCTACACTGATAACAAAACTAACAAAAAAAGATTTTTGCGATTTTTCCCTTTTTAAGTATTCTTAAATACGAGAAATAAAATAGAAAATAACTCATTTCGGCTTCTAAAATTCGCTAAATAGTTTCTCTTTCTCCTATGCCCATTGGGGACAATTTAATTTCGTATTTACCTCAGTTTGCCATCTATTGACGAAAAGATAAAAATATTATAATCAATACACCGCCATCTGGCTAATTGCCGTTGACAAGACAAAACCACTGAACTAATTTTATGAACACTAAACTAACCTAAAGTAAATTCAAGCCGATTACATTCAATTTGTGTTATCAAAAAAAGTCAGAAATTTAATGCTGACAATCTAAATCTAGTAAAGCTACGGTTACTTTCTCGCGCTTTCAAAAATAACAAATAAGAAAAGGCCCTAGCGACACGACTTTGAAAATTGAAGAGTCAGGGATAGCAGCCCTATGAATCAACAGAAGTTTCCTGTTTGCTTATCACAGGAGAGTTTTAACATTATGTTATAGTAATATTGTTAAAAAGATTTAAGTTATACTTAGCACCATATTATTAAGTATGTAGCTACTAAACATTTTTCTAGTATTCAATTTCCAGTTTGTAAATTTTCCATAGAACCAGATTTACAATTTGGATCAATTTTTGCGAAGAGAATAATGTTAAATAATGTTTACATTTATTTTTTTCAAGAAACTTCCACAGGCTATTGGAATACTATTTACAAATCTTCTCTGGATTCCTCCTTTAACAGAGCGATGTCACGCTTTCAATGTTATTTTATATTATATATGTTATAAGCCCTGCTGTTATAGGAATAAAACACCAATGACCCTCAATGGTAATTATGCCTCGATTATTGCTTCGTATGCAAAACAAAGTAGCTAATTTAAAATGAGCACTAACGGCATCTGTGGTAATCCTGGTGAACCGCATTTAAAATCCTAAACTATAGAATTTACCGATCGCATTGCGCAATACGGTCCGATCTTAAAGGTTCCAGTAATTTGGGATAGAAATGGAATGGGTCGGTAACGCTACGTATGGTAAGAAGCGCGCCTTTGACCAATTATAATTTACTAAACCTTAGTTAAAAACTTTTATCCATGGGTACCAACAGAAGTGTTTTTCTATCAATCTAACCTGTTCCAATGAAAATATTCAAATTAAGTAATTTTTTATACAAATACGAGGTGTATTCTATACTTCTATTTACTTGTACATATATTTAATTTCGTTATACTTAATTTTTAGGTATTAACAAACTTCTTCAGACACCACAACCGTCGGCGAATCACCGGCCCCACCAATATGGTTAAATTTTTAGGCCAACAAGAAGCTATTAATATAGACGTTGAGCTTTTTAATGAATATAAGTACTCTGTGGACCAGCTTATGGAACTTGCTGGGTTAAGTTGTGCTGTAGCAATATCAAAGTGTTATCCAAATTCATTGATTGGAAACAAGTCAATTTTGGTCTGCTGTGGGCCTGGTATTTTAAATATGTATTACTATATTTGCTCAATGCTATAATACTTCCCCGATAGGTAATAATGGTGGTGATGGCTTAGTTTGTGCAAGGCATTTAAAACTCTTTCAATACAACACAGTAATTTATTACCCAAAACAAACCGATAAGGTTTTATATCATAACTTGACACATCAATGCACGTCTATGAATATTCCAGTGTTGCAAAGTTTGCCGGAAAAATCAACTATTGAGACTGAGTTTGCTTTGATAATAGATGCATTGTTTGGCTTTAGTTTTAAACCACCAATCAGAGAAGAATTCTTACCTGTGTTGCAATTATTGACAAATACTAATGTACCCATAGCAAGGTAAATTTATTGATCAATTCATTCAATATTTGATTTTCGTAAAACATTTATTAATTTCTAGTATTGATATACCAAGTGGTTGGAATGTTGAAAATGGTCCTCCAGAAAAAGGAATAAAACCAGAATTACTGATTTCTTTGACTGCTCCCAAGAAATGTGCATCATTTTTCAAAGGAAAGTATCACTATTTGGGTGGTAGATTTGTACCTCCAAAACTTGAGGATAAGTATGGACTAAATTTGCCAAAATATTCTGGCACAGAATGTGTTGTACCCATTAGTTAAGATAAATGTCTTTTTGGAGCTTAAAAATTTAAGTATAAATACATATGTGAAATTAATATGAAAGTAAGAAAATGTGTAAATGTATCTTAACATGAACATACATATTATAGAGGAGAAAAGGTACATCAAATAAACCAACTTTTTAAAATAAAAACCAAATTTCATATTCAAGATATATTTATGTATTTTTTTTTCTACCATACCACCATGGAAAAGACTTTACTAAATAGTCTTACCATCAACACATAGACCGGCATAAAAATGAGGCCCACAATCATAAAAATCAAAAACATAATCACTGTCAATTCACCTACGAAAATTGCAGTCTTAATGGCTCTATCCTTTGTATCTTGAGTTTGCAAAATATCGATCAACTTGTCCAGCAAAAACCTTATGAAGTAAACAAAACCATCAACCAGAGGCATCAAATTCCACAACATTACTAGAATTGTTATGGCAGCTGTGTATGACTGGGAACACAAAGATGTCACAAGAGTAACAAAAGTTATGTCCCTGAAAAAAAAAGGGACAACTCAAACTAAATTTTGCATAAAATAAAATTACTCTGTTCGCGGTATTCCTCTAGCTTCTTGGTACTCCACAACAGGTTCACGAATCATATTAAGTGTATATAAAATCCGTGATTCTGAAACTCTTAACTGTTCTGGTGCTGCTTTTGGTGTCCCTTCTGCCATATCTGAAACTCGAGTTCTCTGAGATTTTTTGGACCATGGTGGAGAAGTTCGAGGGTTTCTAGGCTTGGAGTTTGGAGTTGGATTTGTCTTTCGATTTCGCTGGCGACGCTCGTAGCGCGAAGAAAATGCATTTATATAATTGGGCGGTTGTAGATCAGCTCCAGCATCCTCGACATTCATTTTTCAAAACCGTTTTATTTGTTTGTGGAGCGATATTTTCCAATTCAATGTGAATTTTTGTGAAGTTATTTATTACATCATATATTTTTATGAAAAGCTCATCTGTTTTAGTTAGGTCAGCCAATAATTTACAAACATATTCGACCTGTGGAATCAGCAGTAGGGTTTGCACAAAAGGCGAACTACTGGCGAAAAACCTAGTTTTTAGGAGCAGTATGTCACCAGGTGCAGTCTCGGAAAATTAAAACCCAGGCAGCTTTAGCCAACTTGTTTTGGGACCTAAATTTCATGTCTTAATAGAGTAGGTCCCACCCCCCTTTAATTTTGGAATAATTGGAATTTACGTCAGTAAATTATTTGATAAATATCCGACAAACACTACACCTAACGCTCCCGGTGGGAATCGAACCCACAACCTCCGGCTCAAATTATAATAAGCAATTTATTTACTGCTGACGTCTTTTTTAGGTTATTTTCACTATGTGAACCCATATCTATGCTGTGAAAATTGCAGGTGGCACTACAATGCATGCATTGGGATTAAGGTGGCGAAATTAGGTCCATTTAATTAAAGGATATTTATTCTTGAATGTAAATAATACAATAATAATACAGGAATTTTTTTGAAATCAGCACGAAAAAAAATTAGAAAGGCCGTTTAATACGCACACAAGCATTCATTTCAAATCTTGTTATGAAACAACAAATGAACTAATAACACCTTTCGACGTTCAAAAATTAACATGGCCGCTGACAGTTCATCAGTTCCTCAGTTTTCCGTTTGGAGGTGGCATTTTTTTGGCAGTTTTGTTTCAATGTGGCAAGATTTCATTAAATGTTCAGAAAAATATGATGTAAGTGTGTAGAGGTCGCTGTTTAGAACGAAAAGTGCAGCTTACTGTAAAAATTTAATAAAGAGTATGTGCGGAAGATTCCCTTTCCGAAAATATCATAGCCGTCTGAGGCGCAGGCGCATCAGTTTTACAATTATTAGCGGAGTGTATATTATCTCCCAATTTCATGGGTGCACATGGATTGTATTTCTGTCTCTGTTTATAGAAATTAGGGTAACAATATAATTTATTGGGAATTCCGTCCACCAATGGAATTCCCAATAAATTAGTTTAATTTTCGAATTTAGGTTAGAATTATGTCACAATTATGTTAGCAGTGGAAATAATCGGTAAAGAGAATAGTTACATCGGCGATTTATTTCTGCCAGTTCAACGCCCAATATAGGCTACTTGAGTCTTTTGATGCTGTTTTTGACTATATTAATAGAATAAGTTTCCTATAAAAATGTAGATTTTTGCGCTTGCGACTGGTTTGTTGAGCATTTTTGGAAATAATCACATTTTTCACTCGTTATGATTTTCATAACTTGATTAAGAAACGGCGTTGTCAAATCTCATTATTAGGAACCCAATATTTATGTACTTTAACACAACTTTCGTAATTTCATTAATATGTATTGCTTCGTGTGTTGTATAATGTACGTGACAGTCAGTTGAAGAAGAGGTGCGAATGGATGAAAATCGAACTGAAAACATGATGGAAAAATTACTTGAAGAAATTTTCGCTAACCAAAAAGATGTTCAACTTTATCATCTATCAGAACCACATAACGTTAAAAACGAAAATATAATAATATAAAAAAATACAGTAAAGTGATTGTTGGTACCTACACACTGTACTGTTTTAATTAATAAGTTTTGTAAACTATCTCAAATTCAGCTGGTATGAAAGCTACTGTGAGTTGCGTGTGTTAATCAGAGTCAACTGTGACTTGCAACACAGTTCTGCTGCTCCGAAGTTTCTGAATCATGAGTCAAATAAATATAATTTAAGTCCATCGCATATCGGGTACCAGTCAAATCCAATGGCATTTATAACTACTCCTGGTTGGGCCAGTGTTTAATGATTCGCGTCAGAGCGGGAGCCTGTGGACTAGGTGCGAAGGTAAATAAACTATTCTAAAGATTTTTAATAATTTTGAATGGAATTAAAATATCAAGTATAATACAATTAAAGTTTGAGTTAAACTTTCTATTGTCATATTTTTCAGACACCTTGTAAATTTATTTTTATTTCGCTATAGTAAATTTTTAAAAACCATAAATCTTTATCTCAAATTTTTTGAGTTGTGGAAATAAACGATTGTTTCATAAAAGCTTGGCATATTGCTGCCTAATTTTTATATTATGCATTTGTCTGATGGCTATCGCTTTCGGAGTAATTTAAACAGTCGAAATTGGGCGGATATGTATAAATCTAATTTATGCATACTTATCATGTATATATGAACACCAAATTTACCAAAATTAAAGTGTTTTTACCAACCTTTTCCCGTTGATGAAACTGGATTGCTTAACTGGTTTATACCCAAGTTGGGCGTGATATTGTCTGATATCAAATTAAACTCGGTTTTAGAAACTGTGTGTGAGTCTTGCCAATTCAGTAAGACTTCTTGATTGATTTTATTTGGGATTTGGTGTAATGGAAGCCTTGAATAAGGTTCCCTATCAGGGTTATTAGAATCTTGAGAAGCTACACTTGGTAATTTAGGAGAGCCTCTTGAAAAATAATATGGTTGCTGAGTAGATTTCTCTTTTGTTGATACTGAAATTACAACAATAATTTCACAGTTATGACAGGTTCACAGTTTTACAAATACCAGTGATACTTTTGCTCAAACCTGCAATATTTTTATTTAATAAATGTCTAATTTCTTCAGGACTTTGGCAAATTTCTTGTTTTCTCTTTTCTGCTGAACAGATGTTATCTTAAACAAAATAGTGACAATTTGTTCATAAAATTTACTGACTTACCTGCTGCTTTCATAACTTATTGGAACCACAATGATGAATCTTTTGCCATATTTTTTTAGGCCAAAAAAATATATATTTAAAGCTGGTCTATTAAAATTTTAAATTAAAAAAAAATGACAGGGAAATTGCTATTTGACAACTGTCAGCTCGCAATATTTTCATTTGGGACAAGTATATTTTTAAAATAAAATAAAATAAAAGAAAAAGTATTTATTAAACTTAAAAACATTTGGGTTACAATATTAAATTGCTGATTGACCGCTTAGAGAATTCATTATCAACAAACTGTACATGGGCAGGTGACAGCTAGAAATAAAAGAATATGCCAGTACCCCACATTGAAATTGGTGGCATTCCAGGAAAGATTTACTAAATGCAGGTTAGATATAAGCTACACCAAATTAATACTCAAACTTACCACTGTTTTGTTCAAAAGGAAGTCATTTTTTATAAATGAAACATTACTTTCACATTTGAGTCCATAGTACTCACAGTCTCGTGCAATATGTTCTGAATCATCATATATTAAAATTTCTTGCAATGTTTCCAGAGGAAAAGTCAAATTTTTGCAATTATATGCTGTGGACATTATTTTCAAAGCCTTCCTGTAATATTTTTAATAAATTGCATACAACATGCAATTTTAAATAAATTACCTCCGAATTTCAGGAAGATGAAGAGATGTTACAGCTGCAAGTAAAGGTGACTGTAGTTCTTTCATCATTCGACACACTCTCACAAAATTATTATGCAAATAATTTAGAGACAAGTCAATTGAAATTCTGACAATGCTAGTTCTAAAACATAAAAAATGCTTTTATAGAAACAACCCATTATTAAACAAATATAACCTCCATAGTGTTGGTAACCTTAAAGCTCTGGTCAAAGCAGTAGAATTACCTAAATTTAAAAGAATGTACATGGCTTCAAATTCAGGTCTCACATCCTTTAAATGCCTGACTAACATATCCTCATCTATGTTGTTAGTGCAACAGTCATCATACATAGTTAACAATCTTTTTAAACATTCTTGCAAATGACTTGTATTTATAACTGGATCAAATAAATGTTGGGGCTCTTCGCATAATCTAGCAAATTATAATTTTCTAGTATTTCACTTTCATACTATATTTAATTTCACCAACCTATATGCAGCATATGCATGAAACCTCACTATAGGCTGTAATATACAGATTGAGTGGGCAACAGGCAAATTCTGAATAATCATATCTTGCCTGACAGACCTTAAGCGATCCATGACAAAATCATATATAATAGTCCAAGAAAAATCTTTTTTTGAAACAATACTAAAACAAGGTATATGCTGCAACACTCACATGTACCAGGATTAGGTGTCTCACTCATCAAGCAAATAACTAACAGTTCTTAGTAAAACATCGGGAGGCCTTAAAAATTGTGGATCTTGCATTTTTTTGCCCACAGTCGACCTACTGAAGCTCTTAACGACTCGACTTTTGTCAGCTTTTGGTTTTTGTTGGCTTTCCGTTCCAGGAAATATTTCGAAAATATGCAAGAGATTTTCGCGTTCTCGACTAAAATTCAATAAAACTCGTAACACACATCTCTGAAAATATCTTATCATTACAGTTTTATTTCCGAGAGAGGGCACATTTCCTTACATTCACCAATTATGTACTTATTTAAAGGATTCATTAAAACTTTAGCTATTGTGATGATTTTTGACTTGGAACTGTTAATAGAGATTTTTAGGTTAGAGGTTAGGTTTTCGCTTGAAGGGACGGATTAAAGTTCAATTATGCGTTTCACAAAAAAAATGTTGGGCTCGACTGCTAGGATCATTCGCCCATTGCCGACTTCCGTCGAGGATCTTCGCTTTTGGTCATGGACCACCACGTACAAAGAAGACATATAACCAATATTTGCTCAACTAGCAAAAAACAATTTTGACCGATACCAAAAAAACCGACACCCCCCCCGCTTCCACCGCGGACCATCCGGGCCCATCCGGCCTCCATACCGGCGTGAACGGTTAAAACAACGGGGCCGGCGGAACTTTTACACTTAAAACTAACACCAAACACTGCCGAAACAGAGTCACACAAATTGAAGACCCATACCAAAGGTTTTTCGAACGAATTCAGCGGATTCTGCTAGGAGCGGACGGAGGTTAGACCGCCGCGTGCAATGCTCCAAGGGACGGATTGCTGAAGGTACAATACAAGTACAATAAAGCGTTTCACAATAACTGTTAGGCTCGACTGCTAGGATCATTTGCCCATTGCCGACTTCCGTCAACGATTTTCATTTTTGGTCAATGACCCAAAATGTACAAAAAAGAAATATAACCAATATTAGATCAGTTAGCAAAAAATGATTTTGATCACCGCGGACCATACGGGCCCATCCGGCCTCCATACCGACGTGAATTTTTGGGGACGAATACGAGGGATTCTGTCGGGAGCGAACGAAGGTTAAACCGCCGCGTGCAATGCTCCACCACAGAATCATTGCCACAGTTATGTAGGTATGTATTCTTGGTTGATTCTGTGGTGGAACATTGCACGCGGGGGTTTAACCTCCGTTCGCTCCCGACAGAATCCCTTGTATTCGTCCCCAAAAGTTTGATATCGGTTTCCACTGTGTGGATTTAGTGTTTTGAGTGTTCAGTGTATGTTTGAAAGTGATAAGCGGCGTCGGCACCGTCGTTTTTCCCTGTACACGCCGGTATGGAGGCCGGATGGGCCCGGATGGTCCTCGGTGGAAGCGGGGGAAGCCGATTTTTTTTGCTATCATTCAAAATCGTTTTTTGCTAGCCGAGCAAATTTTGGTTATATTTCTTCTTCGTACGTGTTGGTCAATGACCAAAAGCGAAAATCCTCGACGGAAGTCGGTAATGGGCGAATGACCATAGTAGTCTTGCCCAACTGTTTGTAAAGAGCAAAGGAGAGAGAGAGTATTCTTTGTTCATTCCTTGTTTTTATGTCTACATAAGGGCAAATGAATATATAATTTTTAACACATTTTTATTTGTCTATCTTCTAAAATTCAAAAATCACATCAACAGTTATTTGAAATTAAATAATAATTTTAGAATTTTGCGGCAAAGTGCGCATTTAGGTTGAACTAAAAGAACATTCCTCAGAACAAATATCTCGCCCACAGCAAAACTAGATAAATAAAATTTCTCTTTATCGAACATGTATGAACAAAACCTTTCCATACCGAACCAAAATGTTCTTTCAATGTTTGTTCTTTTTTCCGAGTCTATCCTCTTTAAGGTTACCATGGAGACATGGAGGCTGTCAGTTTTGGTTTTCTTGACTGCTTTCATTACAAAAACTTATGAGAAATACTAATTTTTGATTGTTGTGGAATCGCTGGTCAACATATAACTGCTGCGTAAATAATATTTAGTCCTGAATTTTTCGTCATAATTAATTAAACGCAAATTTTCCTTATTGTTTTTATTTTTACATTATTTTGAACTTATACAACAATATATTTTATACATTTTATGAGATCTGCATCTTTATAAAAAATAAAAAATCTCTACACTCTAAAAGGAATATCACATTCATTTGTCAAAAAATTTGCACATAAATCGCCCAACAACATGGTCCATAGATAAAAAAATACACAAGTCTTAATTGGGAAACACTCTCCGAATGGGCAACTGCTAACTTCTCGGCTTAAACCTAGACATATAAAATTCACAGTCAGTACAGTACAAATTAGCTGCTACAACATTTTTCTTTCGGCACAGATTACACTTAGTTTTGTCCGTTGGTATACTGTTATTAGCATTGTTCACAATAATAGGTGTCACAACTGGCTTTGGCGTGGGTGATTCACACCCTTTAGTGCCCGGTTCAAAACTTACAGTTTTTTTATTCAACTGCTTTGGGGGTGCATTATGTTGGTATGGAAAATGTTTTCCTGCTTGAGGATACACATCTTGAGGGTCGCCGTGCAGCAAGGGCACTCGTTGGTAGATTTCCGAACGATCGTTGACAGACACACCTCGATTATATTGCTGGGCGTCATGGTTAAAGTTTTGGGGAAAATCATTTGGAGGGGCAAGCCTTTGATATGTTGGATGATTTGTATTATTATTTATCGGACCGCGATATATATTCGATTGATAATTGTAATTAGAGCTCAGAGATGGCGCTGGTGATGGTGGATGTTGGTAAACTGGATTGTTGGGGAAAGTTACTGGACTTGGCGTGGCTTGTCTTATCTGAGAAGAATTATATGATTTGGGTAATATCGTGCTATAGGTTTGATTCTGATTGTGGTGTTCCTGAGAAATTCTAGGCACAGGAGAACTCTGCATTCTGTTATTTAAATATTGAACTCCATATACTTGAGAATTTGGAGGAATTGGCTGATAAGGTGAAGGTCTATATGAGGGTGGATCATTGCAATGACCATTTGAGTTATACATGTCATTTACAATGTTCTTTTGAGGTGCCTCGTGAATATATTGGTTATGGTAGCCCAAATTTGTGCAATTTTGAGCAGTTTTGTACTGGGATTCAGTTAAACCAATCTGAAGATACTGCCGCTCATCTCCATGTCTAACATGTTGACCATTTAAATGATCATATTGTCGATGATATTGATGGTTTTGTGGGTTCTGATGTTGAATCTGGTTTCCACAAATTCCGCTATGATTGTATAGATTCTGATTGTGCATTTGTGAATGGCTATATTGAGAGTCGGGAATGTTTGTCGTGTTTTGAACATTATGCGTCGCATAACTATAATAATTTTGATGTGACGGCACATGATTGGCAAAATGAGATTGATACATTTCATTATTGATTGATTGATTTGCTTCGTTAAAGTTGTGGTTGCTCAGCAAATTATCTAATGAATTTCTTCTAATATACAAAGGTTTTTGATTATTTTCATTCATTGTATTGTGCGACATATTATTGGTAAGTTCTATAACTGGTGTTGGAGATTGATGAGCGCAATCATTTTGTTCTTTGAGTGCCTTAATTTCTTGCCTAATTGCCATTGCTTCAGGTTTATTAACAGCTGATCTTAAAACCCTTTCTAAAATTGGATTGGGTATATAACTATCATCTTCCTGTTCTTCGGCAGTTGCAACTAAAATTACTTGATCACAGAAAGAAACACTCTTTTTTTTACCAAGTTTTTGCTTTTTATTTTCTTCATTTATATCTTCATTTAACCCGAATGCTTTGTTCACTGCCGACGTCAACATTTCTACTTCTCTTATTTCTTCAGCTACTTGTTCTGGACCTACACTAGTGCAAGTTTCATCTTCTTTTCTTCTTACTGTTAAAACAGGTGAGTTATTTTGTATCGTCGTAACTGCTTCAGAGATATGTTGTGTTAAAGGCTTCATATTGGTTATTTTCGAAGCACTATTTGAGTCGCCATTTTCAAATTGCGAAGCTAAATCTCTAACAGATTTTATTTTAGCGTCTCCTGGAAGATACCTTTGGGTGTTAATTTCGTCAGTACCTTTTTGTTGCTCATCGTCATTCCTTTTTATTCTCAATGCAGCTTGCTTAGCCTGAAGCTCCTTCAGCCAAGTTTCTCCACTACATTTTATTGGTGGAAGTATAGGAGTTTTGTTTTTACAGACATTATCCAAAGTCATAATTTGCATTCTCTTGATTTGTAACTGTGCGAGAAGGCCGTCTGGGGCAGGAGGTTCGGGGGATTCACTTTTTGCAAGTTGTGGCAGATGTTCGTCTAATGCTGACAAGTCTAATGGCGGTGGAGGTGGAGGAAAATCTTCACTGGCTTGCCGTGAGTGAATGGCTGAAGCTACAGGGCTAGGATATGGAGGAAGTTCCAGAATTGGCATCCTGTGAGAAGGAAGGCAATCGACCTCATCCACACCGCTATCGATATTACTTGGTGAAAGTTTTATGGAGCTTTGTTCTTGATGGACGTCTGCATGTGTAACTACTGTCCTCGAAGATGCACCAAAGTATGAATCATCGTCGTACGAACTGTTGGAATTATTGTGATAGTATGGCAGTGACATAGATACTTGATCATTATAACTATCATTATAATGATTTTGTTGGAGCTGGTAATCGGTTGTTAACGGAAATTGCGGCCTTTCACCATTCTCCTCCACTTCAACTGAATTCAGCTTAGATGTACTAAGTTGGGAAGTGGTTCTGAGTGGCGGAGGTGGAGGAACTTTAGCAACTGTTAATATTTTTCCCGCGCTGCTATGGAAACTTTTTCTCATTAACTTGCTGCGTTCTAAATTTGGATTGCCATTGGTACCAGCGAATTCCAAGTGTCCCTCAGACAAATAGCCATTTATTCCTTGTTGGGGCTCCAAATTAACTTTTATTCCTACAGAACTATCGTCGACAGTTTCGCTTGGGGCATCTTTAGCGTCAGCGTCAGAATTCGCGTCTGTTAAATCTGGCATACTGCGATTCTTGCGTTTGATTAGACCACCCATGAGTAGCTTTCTTCTAATTTTGTGTTGCTTTTTAGGTTTTCCATCTTTATCTTTCTTTTCATCTTTGTCTTTTTCCTCTTTTGCCTTTTTCAACGTATCTTTGCCGGTAATAATCTCGGGAGCAATAGAGAAGTCCTGAGACAATTTATGTCGATCTTCACTTCTAGACCTCTTTTCTTTTAGTTTTTGAACATCCTTGGTCTTTGATCTGGAGAAAATTGACCTTGATTCCCTACTGGGCGGTTTATCATAAAGTACGTATTCCTCATCGTCAATGTTGATGGAATTCATTTTGGCTTTTAGATTATCTTTCTTTTTCGGAAGTGTAGCATAAATTTCGATGTTTTTTATAATTTTAGGTTTTTCTTTTTCTGAAACTAAAAGTTCTTTGCTATTTTGTCTTGAATGTTGACCCTTATCACGAGAATTTTGTCTGGAATGTCTGCCACTTCCGCTGCTTCCTTCTCTTGTATGTCGGATCTCCGGAGGATTTTCTTTATTTTGAATCGTTTGATTCTGAGTCATTCTTCTATGTAGACTTCTAGCCCTCATTATACAGGTATTGTGTTTCATCCTAGCCAAAGTTAAAGTCTGTGGATTATTATACGGTGCATTCATTGCCGCCCTGGCTTTTGTAGCAGCAGCATTACAGAGAGCTAAGGCAAGCACTAAATCGTGTTCGTCTTCTAATTGTCTCGATTTGACTAGTAGCTCGTCTGCTTCGTCGCACAAAACATCACAACTTTGCGAATTTTGATTCATATTGATGTTACTATAGTCCTCTGGAATTTTAGCTAAGTGACCTATTTTCATTAAGTGCTGCAATGTGCTCATGCCGGAACTATCATTAGAGGATAAAGAGTAAGAGTCATAACCTGCATCATATATTCCGCTACTTCCACTAGATGAGTCGCTTTTGATTCTAGTTGGGCTACTAGGAACGCTGCTGCCACCGCATGGTGGCATTTTTCCAACCAGATATAAATATGGATTCTCCATCGTCGTCGAAGATGCTGAAGAGGCACTGTTCCTATCTCCACTCCAGTTTCCACTGTCTCTTCGTCTTGGTATATTCAGATGATCGGGAATGCACATTCCCTCTATTCCTGACGAAGAACTATTACTTAGTGTTCTGTGGACATTGATGTGAGGTTTATTAAAATCTAAAGCCTTTCTAGTCATATAATCTGGTTCTTTTCTGTCGTTGCAGCCATCTATTTGATCGCAACTCTGCGCTTCGGATGGTGGGTAGATATTCTTTTGAATAATAGACAAATTCTGATACTCATTATATGGTCGCGATAATTGGGGTAGCGGTGGCTTTTGATTCAAAAGCGAACTCTCTGGATTTGGAGTTATTGCTCTCCTTGTATTACCAATCATTGGCTTCTCGGGACTTGGTGTTACAGAGCGTCTAATGATTTGGTGACTGGAATTCTTCTTATCTCCATAAAAAGGAGTTATTTGTTTCGGAGCACTTTCTGTATTTACTGGTGTACCATCAGGTGAAGCATACAATAGTAACAGTGGTTGATAACGACCTTTTCTGCATTTTTCAACTACTTGCTCCCACCTCGGTCCAACTTCCCGCACTGTTGCGTCGTCGAAATAGATCCATACCCTTAATTTCGTATGAAAGAAAAAGGTGGAATAATGCTTCCCGTAATATGTGACAACCCCAACCAAATTGTGTATAGACGTTTCGGCCCATCTCGTGTCTACTACGCTGTTAAATACGTCGCCAAGCCGCAGATTGGTACCAATAGATGAGAAAACTTCCATAATGTGCTCTAAAGTAGGTCTTTCTGAATTCCAAACCAATCCTATTGAGACGATCTCTGGATGGTTCATCAACGACCGACCGATCTGAATGACTGAACCACAAGAACTCTAAAATAAACACACATATAATTAACAAACGCAAACTGGGAAGATTTGGTTGGCGCTTTGATTGGTTTTACTTACCGGGCATGATCTAACATCTCCCATGCTTGCCGCTTTTTGCAAAAGCTTTCCAAACGAATCTGGTGGATTAGTTCTTGCAGCATTATTCCTGACTTGGTATACTAGTGTGGAGGTTGATACGTAGTGAACCATCTGAAACGAAAAAATTCGCTTTAGCAATTTGTAGAAAATCCAATAATATCATGACAGGCTAGTTAATGTAAGTATTCGAATCAGTTTAAACGCCGTAAAGAATTTATCAACTATGTTGCGTAATGAAAAACCTCTCCTATGCGAATTTACATAAGCCTATATGGAACTGCAATCAGCAAAAGAAATCACCCAAGGTAAACCAATCCATTTAAATCGCTTACAGTCATAATTAGTTTTCTCGGGTGGATTTGCGTTATTAAATTGTTTAATAACGTTGTTACCTGAGTATAGCTCAAAGGTTCGGATGTGGCTCCACAAGATCCACAAACCGATTGCTCCACCAGGGTCATGGCGAACTTTTGATGCGGGACGCAGTGCGGTGCTGCGCAGGCGTCTTCAGTTTGACCGTGCGCAACGTGTTGGTGTATGCGTAGCAGCATATTTTCGAAACATTCTGCGGCGTCGTCCATGAAACCGAGTTGAAAGCGTTGTTGATCGAAGAAACTTTCCGCCAATGCTCTACGGAGAGCATCCGGCGGCAAGGCCGTCTCTGTACTGAACTGGAGTTGAGAGAAGAGCTCCTGAAACAAGTTTTGATAGTGTCATGTTAATTTAATACAATCAAAAATTTTGTTTGTCATTCTTATACAAAGTTGGAAATTAATCGACTGTAATGCGGACAAAGTGTCAACGGTAGAGGGATTTCATAATATTTGTTTCACGCTTTGTCATTGAACTATGTGCGGGCAAAGAGGTTTTTGTTTGCGTAGGGTTTGGACCATTGTTGAAAATCCTATAGACCAGTTCTCCAAACAATGTTAACAGATAAGCAGAGGAATGAGTGCTTAATAAACTTTTTTTCTACAGCATCAGTTTTTGGGTACATTTTTGCACACGCAAAACATAATTAACTGACTGCAGCGTACCATGGTTAAAATGTACCGAAAACATCCGATCGCTCCCAAACACTTGACTAAAATACCGGAAACATGCAGGAATGAAGCTGAAGTTTCAAGTAACATTTTTTGGACGCTTGATACGTGAATACATTTAGACTAGGAAGTAGAAACCAAAATTATTTAGTTTCAAAGATTACCGTTTGGCGTTACAAAGTTGTTACCAACACCCCAAGTTAAGTTATAATTCATTTTTGATTAGTTTTAAAATGTCATTGAAAAAAAGAAAGTTATCTATCGTAGTGAATAACCAAAAATGAATCCTTATTAACATTTAAATTTGGCTAAATAACAAAAAGGACCACCTACGTTGAGTATTATATTCGCAAATAAAATTTGGTAACGAAGTTGCGTAAAATACTCAAGCCGGCCCCGTCATTTAAAGTGCAAATGTGTTTTAATCGTTGTTGATTTTGCCCATCCCTTTCGGCATTTTTACTTTGGCAAATTAAATTATCTGATGCAATTTGTAAACTTCCTGCATATATATTTATCACACGCGCCCATGGCCACAATTGCTTAGAAAGAATAAAGAACTGCTGAAGGGGATAACATAATAACTGACCCAATAACTGGTCAAATTATTTAGAGGAAACTCACACAATAGTTGTTATCTATTTTCTGCTTTTGGGCTGTATAATTTCAGCAGACCTTTTTTTGGACCCGTCAGTAAAAAATGTGTTATCCAGTTATGTTTCTACTAACATTGAAACTATTTTAGGAAATCCTGTATAGCGAAAACTTCTGTCGCATATGAGGACAAAATTATTAACAATAGAATACATTCGGCACCTTTAAAACTCCATTGGAGAATCTCGACCGAAATACCTTTATCAATGACTCATTGACGCTGCAGCACGGTGGTCTTCGGGAAATTCGTTCTTCCCAGAATGAAATGGTTCGGTGACCGAGCGTAGTAGTTAAGAAGGATGTGTTAGCCCATTGCGATATTCGAAACTAAACTAAGAATACTTTTGATCAAATTGGAGAAAAGTTTCGAATGCTCGTTAAAAATTATGAAAAAAAAAAATTTTAATCCGTTTTTAAGTTTGTCTTTATGGTCAAACTATGTCATGCCATTAGATAGGTTAGATTGAATCATCATATTAAAAACTTCAAAATTTAAACATTCTTTTCAATATTGCTGATACTACATAAACAATATAAGAATAACTAGATTTTGAGCTTTAAAATATTCAACAAAAGGTGACATTAAGACATTCAAATAGTATATAATGCAACAAGGCTTATAAACGACACTTTAGTCTTTAGTTTGTGGAGTAAGTTTCATAAATGAACGTATTGCATACTACACATTTTCTACCACCATTAGTTTTAGGACATTTTTGCAAATATCACGAATGCATTTACTCAGTGACGCGTGACGTGACCATCAGAACTGACAAATTTCAAAATACCATCAATGGCTAAAATCTACAGAAACTATCCGATCGCCCCCAAACCCGTGACTAAAATACCGGAAATGTGTGGCTCGCGATCGTGAATAACGAAGTTGATGCCTTAAAGTGACACTTTTAGCATGCTTGATCTGCGCAGAATTGGGTATGAATAACCGTATCATGTTTCAAACAGCGAACACGTTTAACTTTGCCTGACGACGATTTTTCAACGATACTAGCGGTATGCAAATCGCAGGTTAACATTACTATTTTAACTGTAAGCCCACAATAAGACCAGACAGACCTACCAGATCAATACGGAAGAACGTAATTGCATATTTCTGCATTTTCCTTGCTAATAAAACTGAATCCGCTTTTAGTGACTTAATTCAGTGCCAAAGTTGGCGCGTTGAGTGCCCTATAGTAAAAGTTTTGGAGAATTCAACACATGAACAACCCTCACCGTTCTTATGGGAGGGAATTGTCCTCAATAGAACCATCCGCTTAAGATAACGGATTAGGTAGGCATGAAACGTTTTGTTTTAACTTATAACAGTTATTTAATATGAATTGATAGACAAATTTGTCTACTTGGCTAAATTATTTCTTACGTAGGTGATTTTGTTAATAAATATTACCATATAATTTTTTGTAAGATAGGAATCTATAATAGAGTTGCCAGATTAACAACTTACTTACAAATATAATTATTTTATTACAAATTATAAAATGATTATCAACGATTATCGTCGCAAATCATCTTTTCTTATTTCTTTTTTAGTTTTCCAAAACTTTTAGTGGGAATCACCCAAGTACATTTTTGCCGTGAGGTAATAGAAATACTTTAACGAAATTGGCGTCTGGTATGTGGAAGAATTTTCGGGCTGATGGCTAAGTCCGCCTTTATTAACGACGAAATTCTTTGTCGATGACTTTAACACAGCATCGTCCATATCCCTCGTCCGAACGTAATGACCTAAGAAGAATGCATTCACTCTTATTCAATTATAAATACAACTAGCTGATTTCCTATGCATAGAGCGGTTTGGCAATTTCACACTACTTATAACCTTTACATATCAAGAAGAAAATCAATAATACAGCTAATCATTTAAAATGAGTTAATGAGTTGATTGTTAACTAAGCAAACAAAACTGTAATTTTGGACAGTTACACTTGCTCGACGCCATTCATTATCGTTATTTACAGTAAATATTTTTTTATATCGTTGCACACGATTGGATTGATAAAGAGACACCCAAATGCAGCGATAAAATTTTAAGTCAAACAATAAGTTGTTATGAATAAACATGTTAAACAAACATGGCCTAAACCGAGTTTACCAAACTAATTACGCAACACGCAACGTTTCAAATAATTTACATTTCGGAAAAACTGCCTAAGGTGGCTCGAATGTAGTATCAACGGGACCACGCGGATAATTAAATATCAGATTTTCGTACAGTTTTGCAAGAGGCCCACTACATTCAACTGATTTTTCCTGATCAAAAAATTTAAACAAAGATATAAAGTCCGTTGCCCCCCTCTAGCTTTTGAACTCTTTGATATATTGCGATGAAATTAGAGATGGTTATATATGAGACAAATCCCTTTTTTTTTACTGAATATGACATTTTCATAAGTTAAAATGCTTAGTATAGCTTCGGTTTATTTTTTTATGCAATAGTGGGTCATGTGACACTTTATTTTCAAATTCAAATCTTGATTTTGAAGACATTCGATTCAGTCATTTTTGAATGGCGAACGGTTTGATTTGGTTTTTCAGGTCACGTAGATTCTGATTGCAGAATTTAAAAAATAACCAAAAATGCTAATAATATTAATAATAATTGTCTCGCTTAAAATGTTATTAGTTGCCATTTGAAAATGAATTAATAAAATGTGTTGAACATCCTTGAAAATAAAGTGACAGTAAAAAAAAATGGAAAGTATACCAATCCGCTATTTTGACTTACGGAAATGTCATTTTCAGTGAAAAAAATAATAGAGAATTGTCTCATACAAAGTCCTCACTGTATATCAAAGCGCAACATGTATTTTAGATCCAGTTTTCGCTTTCCGGGTACATTTATTGGATGACCCATTGTGAGACACTCTGTATCCCGAAAACAATAACCTTATTACTCTAAAAGTTTGAGTAATCATTTTATTTTTAAAACAGTTTCTAAAAGTAAATACACATCCTTTTAATTTTAGTTTTCACGCTATATCATAGGCACTTATTAATGTTATCTTATAAACTTGCAAAAATTCCTTCAATTATGAAAGCCACAATGAAACTGATAAACAAAAATAAAATTTCAATACAGAAATTTATGACAATTATCAATCAAATTCTGCGCTTCTATGAATATTAAATGCAAACTTAAAATAATCATAAGCTAATGACACAGCAAAAATATTCTTAGACTATGATGATGTTTCAGGAGATGAACAGGTTTTTTTCACTATACGTATCCTACTAAAATGTATGATTACAAGCCGAGTGCTGCGCTGCAAGACACTTAGCAGTAAAGGCATGAAGCTGGAGTCGTGCAGATAGAACAAAGAAACCCATGATACAAAGTTGTGGGAAAAAAATAGAAAATTTACGGTACTGATACAAAGAGCATTGTTTAAATTTTTTGACGTTAAGTGTCAGTTGAGTGGTAAGACAATATGTTCTTAATTGAAAATGTTAGAACGGGAATATATTATTCCGAAAATATCAAAAAATTAATTGGGCTCTCGCTAAAAAACTCACTCGAATTTTGCTCCTGGTTTTACAGTCCAGCATATCAGATAAAATCGGCCCATCTTGCTTAATCTTCACTCCCGGATCCTTGATTACAGCCTTTCCGCTATTCTTGTCAGCGTCAACGCACTCAATCACTTTATCACCTAATTGTTTTTGCGGTGGTTTTCTATATCTAAATTTATTTATCATCGTTCGTCTATTTATATTCCTCTTCCAGAAAGAAATATTGGAATTACGCGCCAAGCGAAAAGTCAATCGAGCTGAAATCGGGCATGACGGTGTACCGTCCCCGTAGCGTGGAGAACCGTAACTGTTGACTTTAAAGTTCAATAGAACGAATAAGGAAACAAGAGAGAGAGAAACGACGAAACGCAAGAAAACAGAAGGTTAAGTTGCAATACAGTCGACGGGTGCAAGAAAGATGGAGAGAGTTGTAGGTGAACGTGAGCGACTTTGTCGCTGTGTAA